TTTGCAACTGTAATGTGTAGTTTTAAAAAAAAAAAATTTAAAAAAAACCCAACCCAACAACCCAAACAACACATGTTATAGATGTTACATTGTGCTTTATTAAATGAATGTATTAGCATTCAGGTAATTTCCTTTTTAACTATAAAAGTAATCAGGAATATTTAGTCTCAGGCTAGATAGAGCCCATTGGCCAAGCAGCATCAACATTTATACAAGCTGAAAAAGTATCATATTGTGTTTTTTTTATATTTACACCAGTTGACATTAAAGCTATGTTTTTATTGGCTGTTACAGACTTTGTTAAAAAGAAACTGAGTATTTAAATTTCAGATTAAAAATATATTTCATTTTGGTCAGCTGTCACAAAATCTTTAAAAATATATTTTTAAGTGCATATAAAGGACTTTATTTTTATTGTGGGCAAAATTATAAAAAAAAATCTCTTTTTCTAAATTTTCTCTACGAAATTATAAGAACCTAAGAAATAGGAGTTGAAACTCTTAAAGGTCTGTTGCCTTGGAGAGAGAATATCCCTAAGGGAACTGGATTTGTTCAGACTGACCTATGTATAATGTAAAAATAAGCCACAAGGGAAAGAAACTATTTCAGTAACTGGGCATCTCTTCATAGGTGAACTGATGAGTAACACTGATTCATGTTTTCCTCAAGGAAACAACTCTGTAGTCTGAATGCTATTAACAAAACCCCTCCAAAACTGTAGGTTTTCACAAATTTACCAAGACTAGTAGTATTTTTGAAAGTCACAGCAAAGATACAAAAAAAAAAAAATTACTTGGCAAGAAACAGATATGGATTTATAGTCCAGAGAAAACAGCAATGTTCACTTTGAGGGAGTGGGGGGCAGAGGGATAGAGGCATTGTGATGAGCTAGTAAGATCACTGAACATGATTCAGGGGCTCAGGGTATTTTGGCTGCTTATTTTTGTTGCAGTGATGCATCAGTAGTGCAGCTTGTAGTGCTGTAGCAGGTATGTCATCTGCTCTGTGAATTAAAAAAAAACAACAAGAACCTTGCAGTTTTTAAACTTATTTTCTGGAAGTAGGTTTTTAATTTAAAAGCACTGACCTTACCTTGCTTTTTTCAGTATTTCCCTATTTCCCTAACTATGAACAAGGTTTCAGCAGCCCCAGTCTTTATCTTTGAGGGCAGAAAGGCAGTGAAGGAAAAGGAATGAAGAAAAAGGCCACATTTGCAAAATGTGAACATTTTTTTAAAGAAATCCCATTATTGTGCAAGACTGCTTTACAACAAAGTCCTGGCTTTTATAGCTGTGTAATTAAACTCCTTCTTTTACTGTTTGCAGCCACACCATCCTCTCTGTGTCAGCTCTGCCGACTACGCATCCGAAATTACATAGGAAGAGCTAGACTGCATCTTGTTCCACAACTCCAGTTGCCAACAATACTGAAGAATTTCTTACAGTACAGATAATGTAGTAATTAAGTGTTAGAAAATTAAATAGCAAGTACTTTTTCTCCTCTCTGTTTATTGTATGTTTTATCTAAAGAACTGCTGGGCGGAAAAAGAGCCTTTTGCATATTGCTTAAAAAAATTGTATCTTTGACATCTGGTGTTGGTAATGTAATAGTAATTGGGAGCCATTCAGCAACTAGTACCAAGGTGCTAATAAAGCTGAATTGAATAAGTGTGCTGATACTCTGGGACATGATTATATAGCTTTACCTTAATACTCAATAGCTTAATGCTGTTAATTCTGTGTTTATATTTTAAAAATCTCTTTGACACACCTGAACCACAAAGAGTTTCTTCATTATTATTTGTTAAGTTTGTCCATTTGGAGTCAGTATTTTATGTGTTTTTAAATTTCTATTGTTCATGTATCTAAAAATACTTGGTGATATGTGCACTGTATACATTGATAAAAATAAAACAATTGGATGTCCTTTTTTTTCTTTTTCTTTATATAGACTATTCATTAATGAAAAACTTCCTTTATTCTTCCTCACTGCCTGTGCTGTGAAATGGAATTAAGCTGCTGTGAACATGATTTCCATTTTTTATAGAATTATTGATATAAATCAATAAATATAAATCAATAGTTCATTGATACAATTAGTAGCTTTAAAAATTCCAGAGGAATATTTCTCAAAAGTCTTAATGCTGAGGTACTTTTGATCTCCTCTTGTAAAACAAAATCATATGGGCTCTTTCCTTATCTTTCATAACAATGCTGTATCACAGCTCATTGGCATATTAAATAATTATTTGCCTCAGGGAAAGGCAAATTTTAATGTGTCGTATATCTGTGAGGTTTCTGAAGCAATATTGTGGAGATGTGGATAATGAATCTTTGAGCTCAAGTTCAGGAGATGGATGCAAGGTTCCAGAAATGTATCAGTTCTCTGTATCAGGAGGGTTATCACTCTTGAAAGGACATTATTTCTCTTGCTGTCTGGTTTATAAACAAGTACCCAACTCCAAAAATCATGTTGCAAAATCCCAGAATGCTCTTACAGACATCTCTGTGAACAGGTTGAAATTTTATTGTTCAACTCCAGTAGAGAAGGAATGCTGAAACCCCCAAGAGATATTAGAAAACCCCAAGGATTTCTGCCTTGCTTATGCTCTTGCATTTTGGTGATTGCCTGTCTTGTCAAAAAATGTGATCTGACTACTCTGAAATGCAGTGCTCCTTCTTTCAGTCTTCTCATTTGGTGTTCCTTTGAGAACAAATTACACTCTCAGTGACTTACACTCAGTTCCTGCAAACCAAACCATAAGACACCTGATAATTTGCCACTTGCCCCTGGTGATTCACCCTCTTCCATTCCTCTTCAGTGACTCCTTCCAGTATTTATGTTCCTACTGGAAAGATACTAAGTGAGGAACTAAATACAGAGGAAGCTTTCACAAAGAGGAATGCTTAGTCAGTTGCTAAATTATATCCACCCTAATAAAAAATGCAGCTGTCCAGCACTTGCCCTTGTTAAATAATCTTAATTTTCTTCTGTTCCCTGCAAAAACTCTAGTTAGGGGTCTCTTCTGAAGTCCCTGTAAAGGAAAGTCAAATGCAAGTAAGAGGACCTGCTTAAGAGTCCCTAACGTACAGACTGTAATGGAGTTGGGTGGTTTTGGTTTCCATCAAAACCTAGCAATTTGTGTTTTTATGTACAATACCATTACTATGTATTACTTCAACAAACAAGCCAACTTCAAACCGCCAAGCCAACCATGGCACTGCTGAACTTCTCTACATAAAATGAGATCATTTAGATCCTCCCCTTCAGGTGTGCACAGTCCAAGTTTGACTCGGACACAGGGTCAAAAAAAGCTCTCATGTTCTGTAAGTGAGATCAGTTTTGAGCAAGTGTGGCTACTCTGCAAAACACCTGTTCAAAACACAACTAGATACACATAAGAGTTGAAGCCATCTCGTTGCAAACAGGTGTGTTTGTGCTCTTGTGGTATATCTATTCCCACTGATCCTTGCCACCATACAAAGAGCAAACAAAGACCATTCCTGTAGTTTACAGGTATTTGGTACTGCTTTTCCTCTAATTCTACAGAATGGTAGACTAGTCAGAAGAAACTGGCTTATGGTAATATTATGACTTGGATCTTGGGTGAGATGCAGTTCTCAACATAAACTTTTATCTTTGCTACCAAATAATATGTTAAAATGTGAGTCATTTTGGCAAGCTAAGCCCAGTAGGATGGGGCATTGCTTCTGTTACTATGTAACAGGGACAAGCAAAAATAGGAAATAGATGTTGTTGCCCTGGCAGGTCTGTGCACTGGAGCAGGTCTCAGGAAGATCAGAGCCTCGTAATGCCACATACCAAAAATAAAAAGCAATGAAACACCTGACGTTAGTATTTGGTAAAATCTCTTCCAAAAATGATCCTTTCTTTGGCCAGAAATGAAAGGAAACAGTTTTCCTACTGTTTGCATGCTGTGAGGGCCCTATTTGTCTTATGAAATAAATGCTAAGTAATGTATTAAAATATTAGGAACCAGGAGTGGAAACAAACAAACAAACAAACAAACAAACAAACCCCACCCATGTCAGGGCACTGTTTAAGACTACTACAGCACATCCAAGTTTGAAATAGCTCTTATTATACGAATTTTTATACCACTAAAATGGTATCATAAGGCATTTTAATTTAAAAAAAAAATATAAAAATAGTATAAGATGCCAATTCTGGAAAGAAATTCAACGGTGAAATCCTACAGGTGTGCTGAAAAAGCACTCCTGAGACAACAAGAGGTGGGAGCTGAGAAAGCAGAGGGAAGGGGCCACTTGGCACCATCCAGCCCAGCCAGGCCCCGCTGCGGCCGTGCGTGGGGGCAGCGGCTCTGGTCCTCGATCAGCACGGCAGCCCCTCACAGCATATAATAATGTGTAAGTAAAAGCCACAAAATACAACAGCTGTATGCAAAATTTTCACTAAATCAAAAGTGTAACACTTCATGTCATCATATGCTGACTTCTGTGCAAATGCATACTGTTCCTCGGCACTGCTGCTGTGAATCTGCTCCCTGCTCCACGCCTTTCGTAATCTTTATCCAGAGCAAAGATGATCCTAGATTTCACTTCCTTCCTACATAAACATGTAACTTTAAGATTTTAAGAAAACCTAATGCCTATTCTGGAAAAGGTTTTTAGACTCTTTGTTTTCTGTGTTAAGAATGGAGTTTCTTGCATTAGTGTAATCTTAAATTGTAATTCTGGATTGAAATTATTTTACCCCATGAAGACGTCCAACAATATGGATTTAAAGTGTCACTTCTCGTATCTCAGACTGCAGCTGCAGAATCTGTCTATGAAGCTTATAAACATGTCAGTAATCTGTTGGACAGATTCTTTCAACATAACAATGGATTGGTTTGGAGCGATAAAGTGATGTTAAATTTAACTGAGATTTAATAGTAGTTGGAAAGCACTAGTTATATAGCTTGATATTTCCATTTGAATGAAGAAATGTAAGGCTTTTACAGAAGAGTCAAACAATAATTTGAAGACAAAGTATTGTTTAATATTAAGGGAGAAATATCTGTATTTGACTTGCTGTGCCAGACACTGAAGTCACATATGAGCAAACAATCTGAAATTAATTATGAAAATGATGAATTCATAGTTTGACAGTTGCAACCACAGTTGTAGCAGTAGACACAATTACAACTTTTTCTGCATATTCCCCTCACTCAACACAGGGGGTACAAACAACTATAAAGAAAATGCAACCTCATGTTATTCACAATGATTGTTTCCTGATTCATCCCAAATATAAAAAATGCCCTCTGACTTAATTTTTATATTTTAGCAATGAAAGAATTCCCAGCCCTGACACTCTAAAGAGGGAGTAGATTTGCCCAAGATTCCATGTTAAGGCACAATTTATGTGCAACACATCGATGTAGTTATACTACACGTTGTAAGTTACTTAAACTGTGAAATATTGGTAGAAGTCCTTATGATACAGCAAAATATTTAAAATATAGTAGAATGGCAGTTTAGTCAATCCTTCAGATTCCAATTACCAGTCATGGGGCTGCACGTTCTTACCATTGCTCTGCACCTCTGCATTAACAACTTATATATATATCAGGTTATACAATTTATGTGCTAAAAGACAGCTGGTCTTTCATTAGACAGAAGCAGATATCAGACACTGACTGATGGAAAATTATTTCAAAAACTACAAATTTTGACTTCTGAAACCCAATTCTTCTTTGCCAAGCTCCATGGAGTTAAAAAAAGGAAAATCATTTTCCAAAGAATACCTGGAGAAAGTAAAGCATTCTGTTCCAGCATCCAAGTATGTACAAAAATGGGGGGGTTTAGGTTATAAAACAGTTAAGAATTGCCCCCCCCTTCAATTTATTCTTACACCAGAAACCCTGTAATAATACTCTAGAATATTGCCAGAATGAAATTTTACCTTTTTAAAGGGGGAGGGGGGGAGAAACAACCTTGTATTTTTTTATTTCTAGTCTCCATCCCATCTTTCTAGCATGGTGGCACTGTTATTTCTAGTTAAATGAGGGCACGGCTTACCTCTGTATTGAGGATTGTCTACAGGCTCTAATAAATAGAGACCTGCTATTATTATCAGTTTTACAACAGTTTCTATTGAAATAATTCTGCCAATTTTTAATTGCAACTGCTTTATATTTCATGTAATTATCAGAATTTTAAATAAAATTTATTTTAAAGCAGCAGCAAAAGATGTAACAACAGATAAAGTAGATTTCTGCTTATGTGCCATCAATTAAGCTAATAAAGGATATTGTAACCAAGGCATCTTTCCTACAGGTAATTCTAGTTATAAGAATTATTAATAATAAATAAGTATAATATTTTCCTTATAATTAAATCCCATACTATACACAGCTTTAAAGTTTAAATATTCTTAGTGTTCTATTGCCATAACTGTTTTTCCATTTGAGCACAGATTTAGTAAATAAAAATATATATGCACAGGTATTTACTTCTGGTTTGTCATACTATATGCATGTTTATAACTAATACAAAATGTAAAAAGAAAACAAGTATTTTAAATATACATAACACAGTTAAATAATTTCAATAAATTTGCTGTTTGTTCCTTACAAAGCCTTTGTTTAAAAAAAAAAAAACACAACAGTTTTATAAATACCTTTTAGCCTCCAGTGAAAATATAAGGGGGATAGTTGCTGAAGATGATCAGATTAGAAAATAGAATTTTGTAATGTAGATATTCAAAACTCTTTAATCAAAACATAAGTAAACTGCTATTTGTACTGCTAATAAAACCCAATAACAAATGGATGAAAAAAATAATCTACTCTTTAAATTTTGCTATAGAACCCTGTGTGTAAAAATTAGTTAAAATTAAAAAGGGGAACACATGTGTGAAACAGCCACAGTATTCCAGTCTAAAAACATGATGCAGTAGTTATCAATAAAGTGATTCTATTATTATGTATTTGGAAGTGCGTTTATGGATTTCACAGTTTGTTATCAGTATTTTGGTAATGTGTGGATAGTTGCTTACTCCCTTTACAAGGTGTCTATTCACACAGAGTCGACTGAAATTCGTCTGTATTGTCTGACAACACCGTTCTTACTGAAAAAAAAAAAAAAAGACATGGCTGTATATGAAGTTAGGACTTTTTCTTTGGATTATCAAATAACTTTTTTCTTTGGATTTTCAACAAACATTTGTATAGAAATCCTTTTCTTGCTCTCATTTTACAATTTCAAAGTTCAAGTACTTGCCCTTCAGGAGGAATCAACTACCACTTTCTGTCCTTTGATCAAGGTTAAATCAGTATTAACCCCCAGAGTGTTATTTTAAGCACTATAAAGTACAGAGAAAACACCTCATCAAAATGGGTTAAGTCGTATTCCTGTTCCAAGTGGTGAAAAAGGATTGACTTTGGCCCACATCAAAGCATCATTCAGTGAAATAGCAGATTTTCCGTCTTCAAGGAAGAACACTGGACCCTGTACAGCAAAATTGTTTGGAAAGGGAAAGAAAAAGAATGTACACAGATATTGTGTAAAAGCCACCACAGCAGAAAGCACATTTTATCTGAGAAGAACATGAGAATCTTATTTACAACTAACCTTCATGAAAAAATTGTACCCCACAAACTTATAACTTTGATAACAGTTACACATTATAAATTGAGTGAACTTGCTATATTCCCAAACTTGGCTACTCAACATTTAATAGTATTTAAATGTTTTGTTCAATTTTTAATAATATATTTTATTATTATTTTATATATGCATGTCAATTATTCCAGAGTTAAATTTAGCGTGAATTAGAAACCAAGGTACCAAGCTTTCTTCCTTCAGAATACTGTCCATATTTCATGGTATCTGTCATTATCTGTGCTGATCTGTGGTTTTTCCTATTTCAAAAAAAACCAATATAATGCCTCCATGAATTGTTTGAAAACATGGAATCTACAGAATAATTTCAAATGCTCACTATGAAAAGGAAAAAATAATCGTTTATCTAATGGAAGAAGAGCTATTTGGCAATTTATTCATTTGACAAAATCTGGTCTCAAAGCTGCAATTCAGTTTAAGTGCTTTCTTAAAGGGCTGATCTCTGCAAACTTGCTTCTTAAAACTTGTAAACCCAATGCAATTAGGCTGCTATACACCTTAGTATAAACTAAGTGATTTGTGAGCTGATCTGCATGCCTAAAGCAATGACTCCTAATGTACACTAATCTGGAAATAAGGATATCGTAGATGACAAACTGGTGACACCGTATTTGCTATTCTTGTTGAATGGATTAAAACAATGGCAGCTTTACGTGGCTGTTAGCACATGTTGAGAGCACAGCCATAGCCAGAGACCACTGATACAATATGAAAGTGATGACAGCAAGGTTTTTTTCAGATTGATGGGGTGCAGCTGTAAATTTTGTTTACTACTAAAATCCCTCTAGTATTTTCCAATCTCCAATTTCTAACACAAAACTATCCTTCTTAGTCCTGGAACCATCCTGTTACTCTTTGGGCTGGCATCTTACACTGGACAGAGGAAACAGTATCATCTAAGAGAGTAAATTCACACTGAGGCACTGCCTGGAGACAGGAGTAGTGTTTTCAGGATCTGTCAATTTTCTCTTTATTGAAAGAGGTGTTATAAGGACTAATGTGTTTCGATCATAAAGCTCCATATGCATGATGAATAAATATGTTTGAATATTTAGTCTGCTAATATCTGGCTTTAATTAGTTATGAACTGCAAGTTTTATAGCATGAATTTCCATAGTGAAAAATACCAACACCAGAAAAGTGTTAGTATGTGGTTGAAGATAAATAATTTCCTGGGTTTTATTCAAGCTATAGAGAGGTAGTAGGCAATAATTTACATGCACTTCAGGCAGAACATCTGGCAAAGGAAATCTGTCTTTCACATGGAAATTAAAATGTTTTGGATTTGGGAAATGACAATTATTTGATTGGATAATTTTTTATACAGCCTTTCTTATACAGCAGATGTCAGTGTCTGTCATCTTTGCTACTGTGAGAACAGGGTAAACATTTTTCCTCCTAAACGATGGATGGGGCCTTGGATTTATGGCAGCCTAGTCAATGCTATCACAGAGAAAGAACATTTCAGCTCTCTGAAGCCATACCTGTATCTTTAGCCCTGTCAAACAAGAGATATGAACATCTGAATGACTAGGAAGATTTGATCCAGTGACACAGTCTGGCCCAACCATTCCTTTCAGAGGCTCCTCCTGAATTCGTGATACAAGCACTGAATACACCGCTCTCTGTGATTCAGATGGTGGGGTGCATGGCAATTCATCGCTATGTCTAAGAACACAAAAGATATTTGGTTTTCAACTATACTTCTTAATTTGTTTTAGACATAAAGAGCCACAAAGCACTTTTTTTTTCCCCACTCATAGTCACATTTAACAAAAGAAAGAAATTTACAATTAAACAGTTAAATATTACCAGTCTCACTCATGGTAATTTTATACTTTTCCACCTACTTGTTTAATTGTGTGCAAGCTCTCCATGCATCTAATTCCTCAGAAAGCTGTTCAATTTTCAAAGGTACAGATACTTCCCGTCTTTTTAAAAGCTGACTGAAAGGAAATACAAGTAATTAAAGTCCAAATTAATTCTAACAATGAGTATTTTCTTAGAAGCAAAATAAGTTAGACATTAGTAATATAAAACTATTTCTGACTGGATATGGAAATAACTTCATAGAAATAAATTGATCCTTCACAATAACCACTATATTAGAAATACTAATACTAGATATAAAAGTATAACTTTTCATTTAAATTGTATTTTAATTATTCCTATTTACACCTTATTTAATTAGCTCTATTTTTTTTTTTTAAATTGAGGTCATCCTATATTTTAGAGGCTATTTGTGTTCCTATTTCTTAATAATTTTAACTTTAGTAAAATTAGGGACCTATTTTGCCTATATATGGTGGATATGGTAAAAATAGTTAGAGAAACATGGTTCAACACATGCTCTGGGACAGCCTGGTTTTACTTGTGGAAAACAGTTTCAAAACCCTTGCAGTGGACACATTTTTTATTTATCAAAACATAAAATAAGGGACAGTTACTACCTGACCTAATTCAGCCACCTTTTATTTGTATTGGGATGCCCTAAAAAGTCCAGCTTGTATGTAAGCATGTAAGTGTCCAATTTAAAATGGACTGGAATCTAAAATTCTCTGAATCCTGAAAATATCCAGCAATCCAAGGATAAAATTTAGAGCTGTATTGTTCTGTTGTTCTTTATATCCCAGGAAAACTGAAAGCTTGACAGCCAAAAGTATCACAAACTACGTCTCAAAGACTGCTTGTTACTAGTCTGTTAATATACATATCAAAATAGCCCTTCTGTAAAAGCTTGTATTTCATCTTGTTATTTCCGGAGGTTCAGAAAAATAAAATTAAAAAAAACCAACCAAAACCCAAAAACAACAACAACAAAAAAATGCTCTTTTTCCCTTTTCCTGCTCCTCTCACCAAGTTTCAGACATGAGGATGGCTAAGAGGAATGACATATTAAGTTGTTTAATTATCCTTGGTAGGCAATTCTGATAAAATATCAGGAAGCATAGTGATGCCTTAGAGTTTTGATTTTTAAAATTTTGTAGATTTTAGTAGTTATGTAGTGAACGTAGATTTTAAAGTAGCTGCATTATATCCCTTACCCTTAACACAGTAGTTACACATAGCCAGCCCTGTTATCCAATTCCCGTATCAATCCCCCTAAATTTCATCAGCCTGTTTAGTCTCATTTTCAAGGTGGAATTGTAGAGAACACCCTAAAATCTGCACAAGAAGATATAGCCATAGACACAATGACCTTCAGGCCCAGAGCTTTGGAAAGCCTCCAGGGACTGTGCGTGCTCCAAGGAAGATGAAGATGAGGAAGAGGGGGGTCCCAAAACTCTCCCAGACTCAATTCCTGAAAGGCATGTTGGGGGCCAGAACCGGGGCAGTGGCCAAATGGGGACTGGGTGGAAACAATTATAAAAGTTGCAACACCTGTGTTTGAAATGCGCTCATGGGTTTGTATTCCTGGAGCCTGGAGGCTCATTAAAACCTTTTCTATCCTTATCTTACCTCCTACCCAATTTGGCCTGGAGTTTTTTCCTCCACAGCCTTTTAGGTAACATAGGAAAGGTCACAGTTCCAGTGAGGTGTGAAAGAACTGAACAACATATACACAACATTCATTCTTGATGAAGAGATAAAGGAGCTGAAATTATTAGCAAAGCTACAGGGATCTATTAGAGCAGCTAATGGAGGAGTAACAGCTGGAATAAAGTCAGCACAGCTTTCACTAGGAAATCAGTGACACCTTGGAGCTGGCCTTGCTACTCAGCAATCAGGTGACAAAACCAAGAGGAACTGACAGCCCCAACACTGAAGGAGAAATGGAAATATGTCAGCTGGATATCATTACCGAACCAGACAGGAAGACTAAACAATCGTGGTTATACTCTGAGGAAGGACTACCAAAGTATTCCATGTAAGTCTATTTTATTTACCACATAAGATAAAGATGATTCATCTTAATCTTTCTGTTTTCTAGTCCAACTTGGTTGGTTCAAGTTCAAGTGGAGTCAGATGAAGTCAGATGTACCAAGTGAAATCAAGCAGGTCAGGTTGAGTAGGGTCAAGTGAGTTGGGCCAAGCCAGATTGGGCTGGATCAGGTGAAGTCTGATCAAGTCAAGTGGACAAAGTTGGGTCACATGAAGTGGTTGAGGTCAGGTCAGGTCAGGACAATTGGGTCAGTCTGAGCTGATTCAAGTCAGTCAAGTCCAGTCAGATGGGCTGTCATGGTTTTGTTGGTTCTTAGAAACTAAGTAGGAATTTTTCTCTCCCCCCTGCCCGCTGCGTGCAGGGGCTGTTGAATAGGCAGTTAAGTAACACAAAAGAAATTGCTGGTAAGGCCACACTCCTTGTTAATGGCCCTCAGAATCTTGTCTTTGGGGAAGGGTGAAGAGTTCCTTCTTACTTTTTTTTCCTCTCGTCTGCTGGGAAACAGAGGGGAGGAGTTCAGGTGGCTCCTGGAGCTGGAACAAGGTCGGAGTAGGAGCTTGGAGTGGGTTTGTTTTCAGTCTGGCTGCCAGCTGTGGATTCTGCTTGGATTTTCATCGGAGAGGAACTGTTTCAGGACACATCCAGGAGGGCATCTCCACGTGGCAACAGCACCCTCTGCTGATTGCTACAAAGCACTGCAGGCTCTGCCTCTCCAGTGATCCAACACCACCCCCTGTTGACTGTGGTTAGAATTGCACCAACTGAACTGGTTACCTTTTTCTTTGTTTGTTTATTGGTTTGGTTTGAAGGGGATTATTTGTGGGTATAGGAGTATTGTTTGGTTGTTTTACTTGTTTTCTTTCGTTGTTTCTGCCAATACATATATCTTTTAATAAAGGGCTGTTATTTTTCTTTTTTCCACACTTTTTTTCCCCGTCAGTTGGAGCCTCTTAGTTTCAGATTTTACAATTGCTTAGAGGGAGAAGTTTGGGTCTTCCTCATAACTCATCCTCAGCAAAACACCTGTGTCTCATTTAAACTGAGACATGGGCCTAGTCCAGTCAGGTATAGTCAGCTGACCAGTCGCGGTTGAGCTGCAGCAAGTGGGCAGGACCAGGCCAGGTCAGATCAAGTGGGCAAGGTCAAGTGTATTAATGTCTGAGAATATTAGCTCACTGAGCAATAGAAGGCCAAACCAGGTTTCTTGTTGAGAATCAAGCTATTGTCCATTCATGAACTCCAAATTCAAAGCTTGTCCTTGCCACAAAACAAGTCTTGGCAAATGGTCTACAGGTAGATACAAATTAGAAGTGTTACTGTCAATGTATTGTCAGTCATGCATGGAGGTGATGCTGAATACTCATCTACTTCTAAAAATTGTTTTTTTTACAGAATTAAGAGTTTGACTGATATCCTGGTTTCACAACTCATCGTGTTACCTCAGGAACTTTTACGTGTATAATGCATAAAGAAGAGTTCTATGTGCAAGCACAGCTATACTCTTACCACTTCATAACAAAATTGGGAACTCAGTTGTTTTTGGTTTTCTTCTTTTTTTGTAGGAGAGGGTAAGGGAAAGAGGGGGCAATTTATGGTATATGTCATAATAAGGTCTGAGATTTCTCAGTGTTAATGAAAACATAGTATTACCTTGTATACTCATACAGTGCAGGTACAATGCTATTGTACTGTCTTCTGATAGCAAGTAAAGCACCAATGTAACCACACAAAATCAGCAACTCATTCCGAAATCTATAAATGGACAAGTAATAATCATGAAAAACAACAAGCATTTGCAAAAACATTAAACAAAACTCATATTCACATTATAATTTTAAAACATAATTTATCCATCCACCTTTTGTGGAGAATATATGTTCGCTGATTATCTTTCCTTTCTGTGTCATGGAATTGTTAAAACAGACTCCGTGTGTTTTGTACTGATCTCCATTGTTAAATTTTAAATGGCACGTACAACACAGTTTTTAAGCACAATCATGTTACAAAAACAACACTCAGAGCTTTGAAAGTGATAGAACTCTAAATGGAAATAAAATTGCCTCAAATATTAGTGTGGACTTCAGTTTCACCAAATTTCCGCAGCTTTTTTTCTCCTTTTAGTTCTTCACACGTACACTTGTGTAGGCATCTAGGGCTAGCTTCAACCATCTGTCATAAAGATGACAGCTTCCAACTATTATAGAGTTAATATTGAGAGTGACAGCTCAACTTTTTGTAACACTTTGACACAAAAGCTCACATTATGTGTGGTACCACTGCTCTTTTTCCTCAGGAAACTGAAATCAGAGCAGATCAAAGTGAAGACCAACATTGATTCACCCCTTGCAAATATGTCAAAGAAAACGAAGCAGTAAAATATCTTTTTTTTTTTTCTTGCTAAACCTTCAAAATTTAGGAAAACTCCACATTCTATTCTCCAGACTGAGAACTAGCCAGCTTGCTGAAAATTATTTTTGTATCCCTCTTTTGGTAAGGAAAAAACGATAGCAACAGTGTTCACCTACATATATATATATGTATGTATATTTCTTTATAAGTTCCAAAATTATCCTTTAATGAAAATTTCAGTTATCTAAGTAATGAAAATATACTCACTCACTACATTTATGCAACATTAATTGTTCAGTGCGTATATAACTTAGAAGGTCAAGATACGGAAAGACTGAATCCAAAGTCCAATCTGAGCCACAAAGTTGTTCTGTTGAAAAATAAAAAGAAAAATATCTCAAGAGGCAAGTTATACAAATGACTTACACTTTTAAAGTTTTCTTCATCCAAGTACCTACCTTTCACATACTGAATGCCAACAGGGAGAGCCTTGTCAGGTTCTGTGCTTAACAGATAGTACTTTACTGTTTCAAATATATCTCCATCTGCCTGAATTGTCTCTGCCAACTGCATACATTCTTCTACATCAGGAAGATTGCACTGGAAAAAAAAAGTTGCCAGAAAATGACAGAAATATTCAAACAATTCTTTAAGATACAGAGAAATACTGATGTTTGAACATATCAATAAGAAAAAATTCTCTCTGAAGGAATCATTGTTTGAAAGATGTACCTGCATATGATGCACATTAAGAAAGCCATCTAGACCAGAGAACAATATAGGGGGAGAAAGTTCTGTAACTTTAATTTAAGCAGTATCAGTTTCCATTGTTAATGTTTTTGTGAACTTTTTACTACTGCTTAATAAAAGTGCAGTCTGAGTTGAATCTTAAGGGAGTTAGCAGAGCAGATCCTTCTACTGCTGAAGAGGAAAGGAGGGATTTATGGACATTACAGGCATGAGATGTAAAACAACTCAGACTAGTAAAGAAAGCTGATCTGCCACAACATGATTAGGCTTCATATCTAGTAAATCATACTGACAGGTAATTCTGAATATCGTAAGCTACTTCAGAAAGTAACCTGCGTAATGGAAAGAGTACACAAAGAGCAGAATTAAAGAACTAAATTTCATGCACAATACTGAAAATAAAGTCAGTGAAGACTAAAAGACCAAAGAAGGGCATGTAATGTATAAGACTGCTGGGCACAAATTCATCCTACAGATTTATTTGGCCTTAAGTTTTTTTTAATTAATAAACAAATCAATATATAACCTCCTATTAGCATTCAGGTAAATTTTTTTACATTGTACCTTTTCATGGAGGTCATTTATTTCTGCTATGCATCCAGGATAAAAAGCGCACAGTTTTACTAACTGCAGTTTGTTATCAGGAATCATCATAAGAAGATCAGCTGCTAAATCCCTGCACAAAAAAAAGATGACATGTAGTTACTCCTGATGGTTTGCAATAGGAGGAAACTGTTTTCTCTTTTACATTCTTCTTATAAAGAAGAGTTTACTGAAAACAATATTATTTTCAGAGAAGTGCAGAAGCAATCTCAGTCTCTAAGACTATTTTGGTGCAATAAATGAGGCTTAATCTATTCATCTTTTTAGTGAAGTCATTAGTTTATTTTCTGCTGCTTTATTGGTTAAATTTAACAGCTGTGAAATCCTAAAGCATCAGAACCACTTCAAAGTGAGGTGGAAGAATACACGAGCAGGGATGGGAAGGGAGAGTAGGAACTATCCAATTTGAGAGAAGGAAAGATGATAATGTGGTTCTCTGTTGTGAAACCTCAAACTTCCAAGCTTCTAAAGCTCTATGACATCAGCATAAGGCATCTCTCAGTTATCCAGAATGGCATACTTCTATGACATTAAAATAGAGAGAACAAACAAGAAAAGAATGTGATGCATATTTTCATCCTTCTCAAATGAACTGTTTTAGCAAACTGACGTTTCTGAAATTTCCCTAACTTTTTACCATTTGTTACCCTATCCTTAACACAATAAGCAGCTGGAGGGAACACATGTAATATTAGGAAATTATTCTTAAACAATTATTTTATTCAAATTTTAATAACTGGCTATTCTGGTTGTTCTCTGACTGTTCTATTCATGCAGACATCCTTTCTCCTGTGACCCACAAGACTGACTTGCCCCTGTGTAAAGCAAAAAATCCTACCAAGCTCTCTGGATTTTCAAAATGGGGTCCTTGGCTTAAAAATGTTCAAGTAAGCTATTGTCCAGTATTTTTAACTGCTTTTTATCCTACTTTCAAGTACTAATCACAATTAAAAATTAGAACACTTAGTATAATCTGATTTTTTATCAAGTCACATGCTTTTCAAATCTTTCTTTCTATAAACAAGCAAAATACCTGTATCCAAGTGATGGAAAGCTAAAAGGAAGACATTGAAACAGTAGTGAACCAACCTTTGTATTGCTTTACAGAAGAAATACCTAAGAGAAAATAATTAAAGAACAACAGAAAATCTAAAAGTCAGGGCAACTGACTTTAACAACAAAAAAAAATAGCTTTCCAATGCCTTTTGACTAAAGAAGTTAATGCCAAAAGATCATTGGAAAATCTGTTATACTATTACTGTGCAATAGCAACTTTTCCAAGTTCTCTTTCAGAATATAGGATATTTCACAGGTTCTTAAGCTACTTTTAAGATCAGTTACTTACATGTGCTACTCTTCAAAAGAAATTTAAACATTTTTAAATGTGATTAGAAGTTGTTTTGCAAAATCTGAATCCAATGTTTATTAAAAAAAAAAAATAATTCAAAGAAGCCCTCATGTAATGTTACCTGAAATGATTTTTAAGAATTAAGCAGAAAACACTGTCAAGTATAAAGATAAAAAGAGGTGGCTGAGTTTGCATTTGCCAAATTCATTATCTCAAGTAAAATATGATCAGCCTTTTGAATAGTAGAAGATTGCTTTTAACACTATTTAGGTGCTAATTTCCCAAGGATATAAGTATAGGAAGGACACGAATGCTTAGTTTTGACTTTGTTTAAATTTTATATTTAAAGCACTTCTAAAAAGAACCAACCAAATCCCAAGAAACATTCCACCAATAAAGTGTGTCTCTACAATTAAATGTTTCCAATTGATGGAAATACCTAAGCATAACAACCAATAAAAACAAAAAGGGAACCCTTCAAATGTCAGAGACCTGGAACTCCAGCTTCCCCATACATGATGTCATAAATGCAGTGAGGCAAGAAGTATTATGCCGTGTCAGCATCTCTTTATTACGAAATATGAAAAGATTCATGAATCCCCTATCTTTTGCTACACAATAGGAAAAATATGCTGTAATGGCTGAAATTAGACTCCAGGACTGTAGGATGTAGCTGTAATAAGTGTTCAGTATAGCCCACTGAGAAATTCAGATGTATTCTTGGGCCGTATGCAGCACACGATTTCAAAATTTCATCACATGTGCCAATGTACACTTCAGTACACATATGCCATAAGTTTGCAGAACATAAATGCCATACTACTATAAGTACTTGTTACAGCTCTGAGATCAGAATAAGCTTTTGCTATGGAACTGGAAAAATATACACTTCCTTAACTCCACATTCAGTGCTTCCTATTGGAGGTCACATAAAAATCACCTTTCACAATGAAGGCAGGGAGCTTCAGAGACTTTAAAAGCTGCACCTGGAGTTGCCAGAACAACCGTGCTGAAACTGCTGCATTGCAGACCTGCTAAATCATTGCAAAGTGAAAGCCGCAAGCCATCAATTTCTTATTTTATCTTTTTCTACAATGCTTCATTGTCTAAAGCAGGCTAAATGCTCTATAGAGAGGAGTTCCACTGTTTCTCTCAGGCTGCCTCTAGATATTTTAGCACTAATTGCAGCAGAAAAACTGATCCTTAATTACAGTATCTGTTTAAGTACATATTTTCTACGACATTAATTATGAAACACCTTTATAGCTGCCAAATATACCTTAGGACAGTTTTCTGCTTTTCACTGATAGGTAAAAAACAAGAAGCTGTACTCCTCAAAGTAAAACCACAGAAGGTTTCCCCAATATGCAACAGAGAAATCACTCCTGCAGAATTAAACAGTAATCCTGTTTCATCCTTAAATCTTTTCAGATGTCTTGTATTCCTAACACCAATATCAAATAATTCCTCAGGCTATTAGCTCTTTATTTTTCAAACAAGTACTTAAAAATCACTTCACAGATCCCACCTGAGCTTATGTTCCTTTTGACTTTTTAATTCAATTCCAGCCTTATTTTGTCTGAAGCAATTATTTTTCCTCAGGACAGACCAGGACTTCGGGTGCTACCTATTGCTAGGGGTTTTTCAGTGGTTTTCATGCTCTGTTTGACAAGGACTCTTCGCTCATTTACATTGCATACATAACGTGGTTTGAGATTAAAGCAGAACATTTGCATTCCCTGTACTTCAACAGTCTAATAGCAGCAATTCTTATGCTACCTACCCATGGTGGCTTGGGCTCTATAAAAGTTTCAGAATGATAACATCTTGATTTTTTTGTCAGGGAAAAAAAATAATAAAAAATTTCTTTGGATTAAGAATTCTTACCATGTTGCTACTGCCATACATTTTCTTGCTAGTAATTCTAGGGCATAATGTGTTGCTTGTGCTGCACTTTCTCCCAAGACAGTACCCACACTGACTGCCAGCTCCAGTTCATTTCCACGAATCAGGTTTGCCATCGCAAGCTTGCTCAATGAAAAAATTATATCATAAGCATTTTTGGGATTCACCATGTTGAGTGTATGACATTAATTTATGAGAATGCTTTTTACAGAAGGACAAAATATGCAACAATTAAAGTAAATTATATATAATTTGGGTCTCTTGCATGAGTAAATAACTGTGCACCACATGTTAATCAGTTTTTAAATTAACAAATATATTTCCTTGAGCAGAATCTTCCTTTATTCAACCAAAAAGATTACATAAATATCATAACTAAAAAGCATGATGGGAATTTCATCTAATCTTAAGTAACTACACTAATTTTCAATGAAGGGAGACTCAAAAAACCCAAGAAACCAGGAAGGATTCTCCTGACCTTACATTCTCTGGCCAACCAGAGTTGCTGGTAGGCATAGCAGAATGTCAAACAGTAAGAGACTACACAATAACTTGGAATATGCTTATTTTGAAATACAGGCATTAATTGATTCTCAATTGCTCTCTGAACAGCTGATTAAGATGGAATTATACTTATTTGGGGCAGATAGAGGAGGAAAAAATGCTAAGTCAGCAACAAAAAAATCCAGAAAGAATGAAAAAAAGAAACTATTTGTATCAAAATACAAACAAAATGAAAAATCCAGTAAAATGTTTCCTACATGTCAGTCTTATTTTTTTTACTGAAGGGTGGGTTTTTTTCCTATTTACTTTTTCATTTAGACTGTAAATTCTTGGAGGCAGAGATTGCATCTTCTGTAGAACAATAACTTCCAGTTTTGAATGGATTTTTTGAGTCACCATAAACAGTAAGCAGTAACACTTAGGTGTATATATGTAAGGTACTAAAGTATCTTATATTTTCTAATATAACAAGATACTGTTTATACAATTCAAAACCAACATATTACTTTCTGTGCATGAGAGAAACCTTGAATTTAATAGAATCAGGGGAGTGTTGCTACTAACTTTAACACTGTAGGGATCTAACTTTGCATAAATATATACAAACCAGTTATCAAGCATAAGGAGAATTTTAGAATGTGATACATAAGTTTTAAAACACGTGTGGAGAAAAGAAGTCGATGTTGGCTTTTTCAAAGAGAAAAAAAATACCTCTATATTTTCAACAGCCAGATGACAACATGCTGCAAGCACTGCATGGCCATCCTGAAAATACCAATCTGCCAGTTCTTTACTGACCTTGTGTAGAAGCCTGCAAGAACAAAACACAAATTCTGCGAGGGCACTTTCAGGCTGGAGTCCTTTGGCTCTTAATTTATGTAAAATTCACCACATTTCCTTCTGTACCCTAAAAATTGCTATATTTGACTTACGACTAGCTTGAAAATGCATTCTGTTTGAGCTTCACACGCTGCTTAGGTTGGTGTATACTCAGGGGGGTAATTTCCCAAAATCTGCATCAGTACAGAAATGTCTCTTCAGACTGATAGAAGAAAAATTAAATATCTGGATATCCAACCTATACCTGTAAACTCTGCACAAGTATTTCTCTAATTGCTCAAAAATTGCACATGTAAATGAAGCAACTACAAAGCCTCTAAACTGCTTTTGTTACTATACCTATAACTTGATATTATAAATCAGGTCTTTGAGCATTGTTCTAAACAAGGAGAGGTGCATGCTTTGTTTTTTTTTAAGGGCATGGACAATGAAAATCACAGAATTATAGAATGGCTTGGATTGGAAGGGACCTTAAAGATCATCTAGTTCCATATCCCTGCCATGGGCAGGGACACCTTCCTTTAGACCAGGTTACTCAGAACTCCAGCTAACCTGGCATTAAACACTTTCAGGGATAGGGCATCCACAGCTTTTCAAGCAACCTGTTCCAGAGCCTCAACACTTTCAGAGTAAAGAATTTTTTCCTAATACCCAACCTAAAACTACCGTCTCTCAGTTTGATTTTTAGTGTATGTTGTCAGAATCTTTACTGCTGAAAAACAGCAAAGCTCCAGAAGCAGATGATGCATCATAATAGGGGATAACAGATACTTGTTCTAAGTTAATATGCTATATATTTAAGTTCATAGGAATGCATCTTAAATATCAAGGAAGTGAGAAGGACGTTTATAACTATAATCCATACAAATGAAAAATCCATTTTGCACCAGGAGGAGTCACAAGAGGGGAATTTGTGTAGCATCAGGTAGTTAGTAACTCTATTAACTATGTACTAGAAGATACAATATTTTGTTTAATTCTAAATTGCTGATGCCAAACCAAACCACTAAGATCTATCTCCCTTAATGACTTTACATTCTGCACTAAAATGAGGTTTTAGATATAAACTAGAACAACTTACTCATTATAATCATCTGTATTGTTTCCACCAGAATTTGAAGAGCCACTTCCTGTGGAGAGTGGTAACATCTGTATATTTCCTTCACAAGCTGCCTGGTAGTGAATAAAAAAATAGATTAATTAATGCACAATTGAAACTGAAGATGAAATACAATTTTTTAACAACAACAAAAATAACCTATGATCTATAAAAATAATTCTGAAGACCAGTTATAACAAAGAAAATGTTTAAATGTTTAAACAAATGAACTTATTCATAGCTAAATCTTAGCCTAATTTTATCCAATCATACAAGAAATCCTATAGAAGTAATAGACTTCTTCCTTCCTATGCATGTGGGCAAGATTTTTCCAGCATTTCAATATGCTTTTAATGAACAGTGAATTGATTTTTACACTGCAAGTGGCTGCGAGTGAAGGACGAAATCTACAGATATTTCTCAGCAGGTATAACAGCAAATTGGAAAGGTTTGGCATATAGTGGCAGAAAGTGGCATAAGCTTAACTTTTTTGTGTTTATTTGTAACATTAAATACAAAGAGATCAGTGTGGGTTAAAATGAAATAAGTGGACAAAGTGGTGTCTGGTCAAGGGTTGGACTCAGTGACCTCAAAGGTCTTTTCCACACTACTTAGTTCTGTGATTCTGTGAATTCTTTCACATGCTTTAAGGTGTACTGGGATAACATGATTAAACCTCGGGGCTGAGTTAAAAGGGAAAATAAATCTCAGTATTTTGTTGTTTAATATTATCTGATTAAACCTTTGAGACAAAGATCACTCTATGAATTGTAATATTTCTCTGTAATCTCTCTCTTACAAGAAAAATTAAGATCTTTCTAAAGCTTTAATTTGTTTTAAGGTTCCAACATTATAACTTTTTAAATCTAAGCATTTAATTCCATTCCATTATTCAGCTTTTCAGCTGAACATTCAGACAGGCAATATCTCAGTAGAAATGCAGGAGAAATCGAATCCTACATCTTTGACATTAAGGGCAATACTGACTGTTGAAAATCAGGTTCTATTTCAATCAAAATTGAACACATCACTTTTCATTATGGTTATGTGATTGCAGTTTAGATAATCAGGCTTTCAATACGTAAACATGACGTACCTTCTTTTGATTTTTTGCATAAAAACTGTTCAGTACAATATGAAAGTAAAGACTCAGGTATCAGCTATTTTGAAAAAGTGAACAGAGCTAGTCTTTTAAATATGCTTGTCATATTCAGAGTTATAAGCTAATAGCTAAATACATCTCCTCCACTGGTATATGTAGTAATACCTGAGCAACAAGAAGAGCCTCTTTAAGCTGACCTCTCGAAGTAAAGAAAGAAACTAGTTTCTTCACATCTCCAGTAGCTATACAGTATGGGATGACATCATCACTTTCTTCCTGAATCAACTGATCAGCTCTCCTATTTTAATGAATGAATAAATAAATAAGAAAGATCTATATATATGATAAATCACCAAACTTATTGCTATGGTATAGGTGTTAGATGAAGCCATATAAAGATCACTGAAACCCCTCTGCCTTTCCAGACTTACAAACTGTGGATACTGCTAAAGAGTTCACAGTTGAAGTTCCAATTTATGTTCAACCCTTTGATTCATGTACACAAAGTTGTTGAAATGCTCCACAGTTCCATCCCAAAGCTTACTGAACAAAAAATAACATAACTAGAAGGCTGTAGCAAAAGACAAGTACACCTGATATTAGTATTCATCCTTCCTAACTTGTCTGTGTTCTTTTATGGACTGAAGCCACAACTCACCATAATATTTTTATCAGCTTACCTTTGCATTAACTTCCTCCAATATTTCATTGATACACCAGGTGCAACTGAGAGAGCTTTGTCCCACTAGAAGAAAGCAGAAATACATTTAACCTGATCATTTTATTTTGAGAAACATATTTTAAACTAGCTTAATTTTTCTTCCATTAAAAGTAAATTTGACAAAAAGCTAAATAAGGAATGAGTTATGCCTTAGAATGCATATGTTAAAAATAAGCTAATTGGAACAAGATTACTTTTTTGGAGACTTGTGACCCATTTATTGCCCCTCCATCTTTGCTAGGATAGCTAGTTTTCAGAAACCTTCATATTTTGTTATTCTTCAATAACGTTCTGATGTTTTACCTCTCCAAGTTCCACCATTAGTTCACAATATCGCTGAATTTGTCCTAATCTTAAATGTATTTCTGCAGCTTCTTTGAGCCTTTCCTCTTTGCTTGGTGCACCAATACCACCTCCAAACTTAGACATCTTTACAGTTGTTAGCTCTTGTGCCCTGGACTGAGGGGACAAAAAAAAAAAATAAAAAGGATAAAAAACTTTTCTGTGAAGAAAACAAGTTTTCTTAAGAATACACTACTGTCAAATATTACAGTGAAATACAAAGGTTGTAATTTCAGAAAAAAATTCATTTTGAGAAAAGGGTAATTGGAACCAATTTCAATGAGCTTACAGTGAACTTTGTTTACGTTATTCAAGTAAGTGTGTTAGTGTTTTGTGCTTATACACATATATTTTCCATTCTTATCTTCCTTTTATATCTTTATATAATTTTTTATTCTCAATCATTTTCTCATATGTAATAGTAATTCATCCAGATGTCCCTCATAAAAATCTTGAGATTTTGAAAAAAATACTGTCAACGTAAACCATAGAGAGCTGGAAATTGAATATATTACCATTATAATGATGTCACACAGAAATAATACAGATAGCAGGTTCAAGTGGTTGACAATAGGCTTTGTGGTCTGATCTGTCATGTCCCATTAATCTTACAACCAAGAAATGATTTATACTCCCAACCAGTGCAATTTTTATATTAGTTGGAGAAATAAGACTAACTTGCTTCATCTGGCAGAGTCTGAGAAACAAGCTACAACAGAATTATAGTTAACATAGAAAGAGAAAGGTAAACCCAGCTTCATGTTTCAAGAATTCTCAGTTTAATTCTATCATCAACCTACATTGATTGCATTTGGCTATTCATGGCTTTACAGTACCATATATGGAAGATGGAGAATGAATTTTGAACATTCTTCACCAAAGTAAACTGCCATGTAGACCAATGGCAGCTCCCAAGGATCTAGGGGTTTTTAAAACAAACTATGCTACTTTTTTTCCTCAGCACCTCTATACTTTTTATTATTTTCATGCTGAAGTCTCCAATGCATCCTCTCTGTTTCCTAAAAACAGAAAAAACACAATTGCTCTACATTTCTACTTCATCCTGAAAAGTCTAGGTGGTGCAATGCCATTATCTGGTTTCCTAAAAAAAAGACAGTATTAGCAATCCTTAACAAGTAGTCAGCATTACCCTACCCCTACTTTCTCTTAAAGCTCTCAAACAAGATTCTGAGTCAGTGAAAAAAGGGGACAAAATGACCAGCAATGACTGTTGTGATTCTAGGTCATTGGAGTCATAAATGCATGAAATCATGTTGCAAAGATAAGCAGACTGCTTGCACAAGTCAAGAATTAACGTCTTGGGGTAACTGGCTGAGAAATCTGGTTTTTGGACACATGGACACATTTATAGGGCTTCACAGGATTAGCAGAACAGCTGCTATTATTAATTTAACAACACGAATAAGCTTTAATCATTTAAGAGTCATAAAGTATGTAGGACACTCTTAAAGAGCCTGTGATTTTGCAAAAGAGGGAGCCCACAACAGCAAACAGGTAATAGGTATTACACAAGTGCAGGTATTACCCCTGGGGGTGGCAAGTTCATTCCCTGATCCTATACCAGTAGATAATCTTTCCTCTATTTACAACCCAGTCATTAGAGCGTAGGATCTTTAGTACCCCTAAGAATTTCCTGACAGAATCACAAATTTGCATATTCTGCACAAACTGTATGTCTGTTTGTATATTCATATATGCAGTTACTAATAAATTTATAGCCTAGTATTTGAATTTCACATTCACATCTGAGTTGCTCTTAAGCTGCATATCTGTATTGTTCTTGCTTCTCCACTCCTTCTTCCAGAGACCTACAGAATATATTTCTGTTAGCTCTCCTCCATTTTCAGAGGTGAATTCCTCTGTTCCTGCATTTGAACATAGACACGTACTTCATGTTTATACAATCATCAAGTAATTTGACTTTACTGAATATAACAGTGTATATAATAGGGACGACAAACTCGCTTCATAGCTGAAGCTTCGCCATTTCTTTTAATTATTTTGAAAAAGCCTTCTCTAGTTAAAAACTGTAAACTGTCGTTTTAACACTGAGTACGCAGTATGAGTATGAAGTCATGCAGACTTAGTTAGATACTATTGTAACAGACAGGTATTGCAGAGGAAACTGGTATTGCACAAGTATCTTTGGACATGAAATAAATTGTGACCTTTTTGTAAAGCATTAAATGTTACTTTTAAAGATTGAAATACTATATGGACTAAAAACCATTTTCACATATTGTTCATGTTTCACTTACCATTCTAAATCTAATGAGATGTTTCATATGCATAATTCCTTTGCAGTAGTTTTGTGGAAGTAAACTGTCATCCTGCCCTTTTATTACAGCAACCAAATCCCACAAATTTTTGCTTCCTCCAGGAGGCTGAAATTGTTAGGGAAGAACAGCTGTATTACAGTCATGATCAAGAGAGAAACTTGAACTTATGAAGACACTGGAAAACATTTGTCCGTCAGCTTCAAGAAAACAATGTCAGATTATTTCAATATTAGAACCTTCATTATGAAGACATGAATTAGTTCAAGATAAGTCCTTCAGTCTTCTTGAAGGCTGTAAAGATACAGCAAGATCCATGAATGTAAGTACTGTGGACATAGTTGAGGACTTGACATTAGTTTTCCTTTTCCTCACAAAGAAATACAAGCAATCTTGTGGCTACTGCTGGCATAAAATAACATTCAGCTGCTGAGATGCAGGAGCTGCCCTAGTACTTATTTACCATTTTCTGTAAAGTGAAGGTATGGGCCAGGAAAAAAAAACAGCTCCAAGGCTTGACTGCCACAACCTGGTTTACTTTCTTAATATTAAAATAGACACATATGGCATAACTTTATATGCACAATGCTTGCAGCACAAAGTCATTAGGGTGATCTTTTTTAAAAACAGATTTTAAGCACTTCTATTGGTCTGGTCTTTGAATCAATCCTTCTGTAGTTCTAGGACAACAGTTTAACACTGAATGAGGTCTAGAAGAGAGTGAGAATTTAAAAGCTTAAAAAAAAATAAAAAAATCATTAAACCTTTGACCTGAAGTAGCCTTCCTAAGAAGAACAGGATCACGAGTTTAGAAGTCCAGTTATTTCTGAGCTGATAAAAAGCATGAAATCCTACTAGGAAAAAAAAAAAAGACAACACAAAAAATATTCTCTCCCTTTTCTGTCCCTTAAAGTTCTTAATTTTCTTCTCATCATTTACCACAATATCTCATTTTCTGAACACAAAAAGCACTGAGCATAGCTGATAAAAAAAGCTTATGTTCTTGAAAAATTTTAATACTCTTATAACAGTTTTACTCTCAAATCAACATGGAATATCAAGATTTATAACTTTTGTGAAACAAGGAATTCCATAAAATATATTTTTAATAAAATATAAGATGTCCAGGTTTAAAATTGAGGAACATTGTTTCAGCATTTCTAAATCATACACTTCAATCTAGCTAGAAATTATAACAAATATTTGAGATGAACTAAATCTTTGTAGATCAGCGTATTGACTTAAATTACAACACTGTGTGACACTGCAGTTCCAGGTAATTTTTGTCCTTGTTCTACCCCAAGTTCAGCTCCTATGCAGCTGTACAGTCACAGGGATCCAGTAGTTTATATTTTTAACTCAACTGCACTGAGAGGCTGCAGCAGTTTATAGGAAATATTACTATGCTATGGATCAAAGGCTACCAGGGTCATCCAGATCTACAGCTGCCAGAATGTAACACTGCAGTTTGGGCACAAACACTTGGGCAGTTCAAACCTTACCAGTAATGAGGGTGTCCTTTTGGAAAATTAAAATTAAAAAACTCTAAGACAGTTTGATAAAATACATATTTTCATTTTCTTCAATAGAAAATTGTTGTCAAATTAAACCTTTCCTAAAGAAAATTAAATTATCCCATTAATTTCAGTTTGCAAAAAACTGATGTTCATAACTGACAAACAATTAAGTCATGGACATTTTTATATGCAGATCTGTTAGAAACAGAACTGATTTCTACATATTTTCTAAGGTCCCTTAAAAAAGAGAAAAAAGTGGTAGAGAAGAAAGAAATTTCAGTTTTGGAGATTGACCTCAGAAGAGAAAGTCATGTGTGCTGACAACATTCTTAGGTTTGCAGAATACTTACTGAAAAACATTCTGAAAACCACCTTAGTTTTTTTCCTCGAGGATTTCCTGACAATTTTTCCAATTCCTGTTTAATATCCCTGGAAACTTTACCACACAGCAAAGGAGGAGCACCAGATTCCACAGCACGATCTAACACACACAAAGATTTATACATGAGAATTAAAAAAATAATAAACAACCAAAGATAAAAGAAGAATAGCGATATAAAGAAAATTAGAGCAACAGTATATATATACAATTTGCTTACCTGTATTGCCAATAATATCATCCCAACATCTATCTGCTAAGATATTTATTGGTAGAGGGTTTATAAGAGGTGTCAATGACCAGAGTCTCACAGTGGAATCACGAGAGCAGGATGCCATAGTAAATGGACGACTGGGATGACATGTCAGTCCTAGCAGAGAGGGCATTTAAAAATGTAATTAAAAAAAGTCTATCTAATAACCCATTTGATTAAATTATTTTATAAATTTTAAAATATATTAGAATGCATTTAAATACAGAAATAAAACCAAATTAAAAAATATTACCATATACATCTGCACCATGGTCATAAACTGTGTCCAAACATGTTCCATCTCTTGTGTCCCAGACTCGAATTGTATAGTCCCAACTGCCAGATATTAGAAGGTAAGGAATTTCAGGATTCCACATCAGCCCCCGTACTGGAGCTGTATGTCCACTAAGAACATTTATACAAGCATCCTGTGTATAATCCCATATTCGAACAGTACTGAAACAGGATAAAAAAGACCAATGTCAATCAAATCACCGATAAAAATATCATTATCTCTCCACTTCAGCAATATTCTAAGCCTCAAATTTATCAGAATATTTATTTGTGATATGTTTATAAAAGCTGAAATAGGAGAGGTTGGAGCCAATGCCCTTCAAGTTTATGATGGCATACAAAGTACACCAAAGACCATTCACCAGGGTAAGAAACTATTCCATTGACCACATAATCTTTCAAAAGCTGACAGCCACCTGTAACTTACATGTCAGTGAGAGAAAAGAAGTTGGCCATATGTCTGTACATGCAGTAAATTTTTTTGTTAGGACTCTCAAGAGGAAAAAAAAATAAAGAAAAACAAAGCAAAACTGTAAAATTTATCTTTCCTATGGCTTCAACAGCCCTCTAACAGACCCAAGAAATTACAGATCTGTTAGTTTAAGCTCAGTTCCTAGCAAAAATTGTGAAGATTATACTGGGTACTATGGAAAGGCATTTAAAGAATAACGCAGTCATCAGGCACAGTCAAAATGGATTCAAAAATGGAAAGTCCTGGTTAACTAATCTGATATCCTTCTATGACAAGGTCACCTGCCCAGTGGATTAAGTGAAGGTACTGGATGTAGTTTCTCTCAATTTTAGCAGGAGTTCAGATACTGTACCTGGCAGCATCCTTCTGGACAAGTTCTCTAATGGTGGAATAAGCAGGTTCATGGTGCACACGGTGAAGGACTGGCTGAACATAAAGGCTCAAAGAATTGTCATTAATGGGGCTACATCTGGCTAGCAACTGGTCACCAGCAGTGTTCCTCAAGGTTCAATTCTAGGGCCACTCCTGTTCAGTATTTTGCTTTCAAGAAGTTTGCTGTGAAGTTGTTTTCTGTCATGAATCATATTCTATGAACTAATAGATTTTGCTTCAAGCATAAACCTCTAATGCAGAAAACAATAGAAGCCAAACTTGAGATCCTTTGCAAAAATATCTTGTATAGTCTGCAGGGAAGTGGCTCAGAATCACAGAAAATCCTCTCACTTACCGAGGACTTCCTGTGCTCTGCCTCCAAAAAGATGTCATCAAACCAACAAAACAGAAGTATCTAGCACTCACTAAAAATCTCTGCAGATTATACTTATGTATACTTTTGAAAAAACATCAGTCACTGTGGTGTCCTCCTTGTATTATTCCTCAGAGGAACAGTATCAGTCACTTACCTTACCCTTGGGAAAGCATTTGGAAAGGCTGCACTGCTACAGCAGTTGTGACAATTTTAGATAATGATCCTGCTGCCCAAATACTAGCTAAAGCTAACAGCAAAACTACAGCCTGAATTTGAACAAGGCAGAGATTTAGATTATTATGTATTCACAAGTTTTTGAAGGTGCCAATACCAGTACAAGTAAATAATTTATCTAATAGTTCTACTTGAGGTTTTAAGTTTTCTAATAGTTCAGAAATACACACCTGTCATCAGAGCCACTGCAGAGGATTCCTTCTCTCAGAGGAGACCACCGTACATGAAACACCTTTGCGGTATGCCCTGTAAAAACTTTCAGTGGCTGATCAGAGCTGGTTGCCAAGTAGTAAACACGAACATTTTTATCCTCACAACCAGTAGCTATCATATCTCTGCAAAATATAAACAGTAAAATCCTTGATCACAGAGATGATCAATGCTTTTTAAATTTAAAAAATAAATACGATGTGTAATTTGCTATTAACTTCAAAAAAAATTGCTTATTTTTGCTTCTCCTTTGTCTCTTCAAGAGACAAAGTAAGTATGGATAATCCAATTAAATATACTAAATCAGACAAAAAGTT